TATTAAGCGTTGATTATCATAGATCTTCGATCCAGAGCGATGTATTCAACCCGGTGACTTGCTCAGACTATCATACTAGCAGTTTTTATTGTTAAAAATTTAAAAAAAATCCTAATTTTATATCACATACTGGCAGCACTCATTGAGCATTAAATTATTAACCGTTGATTATCATACATATTCGATCCGGAGTGATGTATTCAACCCAGTCACTTGCTCAGACTGTCATACTAGCAGTTTATATTGATAAAAAAATAAAAAAATCCAAATGTTTTATCACATACTGGCAGCACTCATTGAGCACTAAATTATTAACCGTTGACTATCATAAATCTTCGATCCAGAGTGATGTATTCAACCCGGTCACTTGCTCAGACTGTCATACTAGCAGTTTATATTGATAAAAAATTAAAAAAAAATAGAATTTCCTAATTTTTTATCACATACTGGCAGCACTCATTGAGCACTAAATTATTAACCGTTGACTATCATAAATCTTCGATCCAGAGTGATGTATTCAACCCAGTCACTTGCTCAGACTGTCATACTAGCAGTTTATATTGATAAAAAATAAAAAAAATCCTAATTTTTTTTCACATACTGGAAGCACTCATTGAGCACTAAATTATTAACCGTTGATTATCATAGATCTTCGATCCAGAGTGATGTATTCAACCCAGTCACTTGCTGAGACTGTCAAACTAGCAGTTTTTATTAATAAAAAATAAAAAAATCCAAATGTTGTATCACATACTAGCAGCACTTATTGAGCACTAAATTATTAACCGTTGATTATCATAGATCTTCGATCCAGAGTGATGTATTCAATCCAGTCACTTGCTCAGACTGTCATACTAGCAGTTTATATTGATAAAAAATTAAAAAAAAAATCCTAATTTTTTATCACATACTGGCAGCACTCATTGAGCACTAAATTATTAACCGTTGATTATCATAGATCTTCGATCCAGAGTGATGTATTCAACCCTGTCACTTGCTCAGACTGTCAAACTAGCAGTTTTTATTAATAAAAAATTAAAAAAAAAAATCCTAATTTTTTATCACATACTGACAGCACTCATTGAGCACTAAATTATTAACCGTTGATTATCATAGATCTTCGATCCAGAGTGATGTATTCGAACCGGTCACTTGCTCAGACTGTCATACTAGCAGTTATTATTGATAAAAAATAAAATATTTTTTATTTTCCAAAATTTTCATCAGATACTGCCAGCACTCATTAAGCACTAAATTCCCTATGCATTGCTTTAGTTCTATACCGCGTTAATATAGGCGTTTCAGGGACTACACTGCTAGCTTAATTAAAAGCTGGCAGTGTTCTAATTTTTCGCTAAACTATGAGAGCATTAAATTTCCGGTTTTGGCACTAAATTAGCACTAAATAAGCACTAATTGATGCACTTTATTTTAAACGATTCTGCTCACTTTGCCATGCTAGCTTAACAGACGTCTGTGGGTGGACATGGCGGTCTAATCGTAACCAGCGATCTCTTCCAAATAACTATATTTGATGCACATGGCAATAATAATAATATAATAATCGTTTATTCAAGGCATAAAAAACCCAATAAAAAGTCATATACAAAATTTCAAATAAAGATAAAGTAAAACAAAAGAATAGCGCGCCAACAACGATTATAAATGAATTTTCATTTAACTGTAATAATAATTACAAAACCCTAGCGAAAAATAAACTAGTATGAGAGCTCAATTTCACAGCCGTTCTTCGACAAACGTATTAAACGTTTGTCTAGTTCGTATCTGCCCACCTAACATGAACACAGCGATATGATTTATAACTCGTTTTTATCGCACTCCACTGTCACACTAATATGGAGTTTGAGAGCTGGGCGCGTTAAAAGACGTGATAAAATGTATGAGGGGCGTATGTTGCGGGGACTGCAGTCGTTAGCAACCACCTATCCCCACTGGATTCGTGTGGTAGGTCAGTTCATGGCCCCTTCTACCTATTCCGTCCCTAAGAAACTTCGCTGTCCCAGCAGCTTGAGAATTTATTAGGCTGATGAGGAAGCTTGTCCTAGATAAGTAAGCAAAGTTTTGGGTTTGACACTTTTGATTTGAACAAAAATATAGTTTATGTGATATGACCAACCCACTGCGTCACTATTAGTCCAAGCAGTGCCGTCTTTGACCTATTGGAGGCCCTGCGCATATTAGGATAATGGGGCTATGAGTTCCGTTTGGTGATTTAACAGGAACTAGGGACTTTGTATTTGATCTGAGGGGGGCCCCTATCGATCGCGGGGCCCTGGGCACTTGCCCAAGTGCCCACTGGGAAAGACGGGTCTGAGTACAAGCTCCCTTATTTATTATAAATTTTATTTTTTAAGCATGTAAGTAACTGCTAAGTGTTTAATTGTAAAGAAAATTTTACTATAAAGGCACAACAAACATTCAGGTCGTGGTAGCATAATTGGTCATTGCATCGCCCCGTTTCGCGGAGAGTGCGAGTTCGATTCCCGCGTGCTTCCTGGACCATGTGGAATTTTAAGCGCCATAATGTTATTTTTGTTTATGATATTTGCTTACGATTTATTTTCATATATATACTTACGTAAATAGTACTCCAAATCCGCTTCGAAGCATAGAACTCCAAAACCGCCTCGAAGCCATTAAAAATGGAAGCCTGGAAGTGGCGAATCTAAACGACATGGTGGTGGATACTACCCTTACGGTAGGGTCCAAGTAACTAGGATAAAGAAACTCTCCGACAAGACACTCCAACTTATGGAACAGCGAAATGAAATAAGGTTACATACACAGCCGATGTAGGTCAGTATCGTTTGTTAAATTGGCAGATCTCTAAGTCTTTGACGAGCGACCTTCGCCAATTTAATACTAATCATATTAAAGAAGCTATAGACCGGAATTAAGGCTCCAAAGTGTTTGCAAGAGATCTGTCTATTGGGAAAAGTTATCTGGCGAAGCTGAAAATTGACGACGGTAGCATCATTTCGAATAACTGTAAATTCTGAGGGAGATTGAGAGGTTCTATCGGCAGCTATATTCCACACAAGCACCTGTTGAAAGCATGGCTAAAGATCCCAGAGCTAAGCTTACCCGATACTTTGCCGAAGATATCCCAGACGTCAGCCTGTATGACATTAGTATGGCTCTCAAACAACTTAAAAACAACAAGGCGGCGGGTGGTGATGGAATCACTACAGAGCTTCTGAAAGCGGGTGGTTTGCCGATACTTAAAGTCCTCCAGAAGCTTTTCAATTGCGTCATCCTCTAAGGCCAACCGCCGAAATCGAGGGGCCGAAGAAAGGTTTTTCCATTCTTTAAAAGGGATGATAGCACACTCTTGAAAAACTATCGACCAATCTCACTTCTGAGCCATGTCTATAAGTTGTTTTCGAGAGTTATCGCGAATCTTCTCGCTCGCGGTTCGTCGACTTCCAACCTCCCGAACAAGCCGGTTTCCGAAAAGGCTTCAGTACCGTAGACCACATTCATACGCTACGGCAGATTATACAGAAAATCGAGGAGTATAACCTGCCACTTTGCTTAGCTTTTGTGGACTACGAGAAAGCTTTTGATACGATTAAGACCAGGGCGGTGCTGCAGTCTCACTAAAGGTGCCAAGTAGACTACAGGTATGTCCAGGTGTTAAGGTACTTTATGTTAAGGTACGAACGAAAACGCCACCATCTCAGTCCGATTACAGAATCAGAACTCTAATCGGATCCAACTGCTACGAGGCGTGAGACAGGGAGATAATGGATCTCCGAAACTGTTTTCTGCTGAGTTGGAGGATATTTTCAAGCTTCTGGATTGGCAAGGACGTGGCATCAACATTAATGGAGAGTACCTAACACAACTTCGCTTAGCCGATGATGTAGTACTTATGGCTGAGACCTTGGAAGACCTGAACACAATGCTCGAAGATTTTAGCAGTGTTTCCCAAAGAGTGGGTCTAAAGATGAACATGGATAAGACAAAAATTAAGTCGATGATTACGTTTAAGTAAGTGCCTCTGTCTGTACAGAGGACCTGTGATTTCAATGAGTTTTTATGGTAGCCCCCATTCGGATGTTTAAATTAAATCTTGTTAAAATTGGTACAGTCCTGAAATGTGCTATCCGGACCCTCAGATTACTGAACAAAAGGTTTATAATCTAAGTCCGGGACATTCTCACTGTACTTGTATGCCTGAATCAAATTTTCACTCCATGGAACCTTGGAAACACAAAAGACACAAGAAAAAAAAAGGAATTAATTTAAGTACATTTTTAGAATAAATGTGTAGTCGGTGAGCTTTAATTAGCATTCTATTTTAGGTATATGCCTAAAATCACTAATTTAATAGTGGTCATATTAATCTAAAAGTGGTTATTATTTTTTTCGGTGAAATGCATTTAATTGTAGTATTTTAAAGTAGAATAGTAATCACGAAAAAAATAAATTAATAATGAAACTGCATGGATTTAATTTCTCTAGCCTTAGCCTTACATTCACAAAAAAAACTGGAGACTAGGCACTATGTGTTAATTATCCCTTTACTTTAATTTAAAAAATAACAAAGAACTTTTTTGCAAAACAAGCAAAAGATTTAATTATCATTTATCATACTTACATTTAAATAATTGTTATAAAATAGTGTTTATTTTGATTTACTGTAAGCAATGTAAGTTAATAATAATTGTGGCTTAATGTGATAGAGCTATAATGGTCTGCGTATAAAGGCACGTTTTATTTGCCAGTGGTGAGATAAACTTCTTTTACAATAATAGTAGCTTTTTTAACTTAAATATGTTATTTTGAGTTGATTAACTAGCTGCTTATCTTTTTATAAAATGTTTTTAAAGTACGCATAGTGGTGTTTAAAAACTCGAGCTCTCATTAATTATTCATCCAAATTCTATTGAAAGAGTTATAAAAATATTGAAGCTGAGTGCAGATAAGTTCAAAATACCCATTTGTAATTTAAGATCACCAGGCAATGGCAACACCAAATTCTTCAGTCAATCAACTATGGGGAAGCTGTCATTTTCTTTGAAACCCAATTTTTTGGGTTTATTAAAATTTTTAAACAGTTTTAACTGGTTCATCGTATTCTTTAGCTTAGTTAATCTTTCAGTATGCATTTACGAGGACCAAATAGGAAAATTCGACTGGTACTTTTGATTTTAGGTTATAATTTTCGAGTCATTTTCTAATGGGATATTAGTGAATTTTTAATGAAATTATAACTTTCAGGCGTCAGTCCTACGTTGGGAGAATAAAATTCGCTCAGTTTGACACAGTATCCACTGCCAAGAAAATTATAGTTGCTACCGAAGAGAACGTTTTAGCGGCTTTGAATCTCAAGACGGGTAAATTGATTTATTCTCTATTCTTCGATATTAAACGCTGCAAATGACTATCTTAGTTTAAAACTCTCGATGTCCTGTCGCTCTTACATTTAGATTTGCGAGTGAAATCTTAAGAAACTGAATACAAATAGCCATTGTACTGTTAAATTATCTACCTGTGCTAACTTCCTAATGACATGGCATGATTTTATTCTAATACACAACAATGTTCTAGATTACTAAGTCATTTAAATTTGTTGATTCACCTACAGGTCATAAATATCAAATCAAATAATTGATTATACCTACTCATGTGGTTCCATAGATGGTTCCAAAATGCATAAAGATACCTTAAATGAATCCTGTCAGTAAAGCAATGCACCACCATTTATTGCCTTATAGATAAAAATTACAATAGGGAAATTAAAATGTAGTCCCTAAAATCCAATATCCAAAGTAATTATCAGCAAATTATGAAAATGGTAATAATAATTTATTGCATAAAAATATGGTATAAAAGGTGTTTGATTATTCTCATGTCTCACATATTTTACCGTTAAACAGTATGCAACAGTTTTTAAATTAAATTATGATTAAAGTATAATGTTAAGCTTATCAGTATCATGTCAAAATCATTTTATAATCATAATTATGTAATGTTAAATAAATATAAAATTATCCATCAAAATGTAAAAAATGGATGTCCAATGTTCAAAATCTGTTTTCTCACAAGATTCCAATAATTAATAATCATGCAAAATGTGTAGTTAAAAAGTGTTTTCTTTCAGGACAAGTTGTTTGGCGTCATGTATTTGAGAGTGCATCTACAGGAAACATTGAGCTGTTACATGTTGCTGAAAAAGTTGTCACTGTATCAGGATCCAACCCATATCTTGTCCGAGGATGGGACTCTGCAACAGGTATTTAATTATAACTCAAATATCCACCAACTATATTCAGGGCCAGATGAAGAAGTGTCGGGAGGCCCTGGGGCCACGAAGGATTGAAGCCTAAGTAGTGGTTTCAATATCTGGTGCCTGGGGTCACTTGCGATTTCCTGCTGCCTGCCTCACCTTAAATCCGGCCCTGACTATATTGGTAAAATCTGTGAAAACTGTGTTTTTCTTGTTTTCAAATCAAACCTCCTGATACCCAAATGTTATTATTGTTAATTATGTTATCTAAATATATGTACCTACAATATTAATAATTTAAACCTGAAATGATCTTTATAGGTAGGAAATATTAAGCAAATGGTAATCTCAGATGTTGGTAATTGCATTTTCTTAATCTTTATTGTTCAATTGTGACATTCAAGGAGTCCTGCTCTGGGAATGGTCCCTCACCCTACAGAACAACGACCAAGCAGAGTTCTCGGAATGGTTTGTTGAGAACAGTGCACTTGTGCACATGCTGCCAGTGTTTGGTTCTCACATTGAAGTGTCAATGTACAACCTGATGACTGGACAGAACAGAGGTTCCACTTCCAAATTACCAGCTCTTTGGACCAATGAAGGGTAAATACTGTTATAGAAAAAAACTATAATACTTTATTTATACTATTTGAATCAGAATTTGGGGGCAAACTCCCTATCAGGATTGCTTTGCCTATTGCTAAAGCTTATGATTTAATTTTGTTATTTCTGACCGTTGAAGATTTTCAAATGCCTCGTGTTGTTTTTGCATTGGTAATAACAATATTAAATAAAACGAGTGCATGGCATTTGAAAATCTTCAGCAGGCAGAAATAACATAATTAAATCATAAGCTATAGCAGTAGTTAAGGCAATTCCGACAGGTGGTTCAATCACAAGTTTTTTGTGGCTTTGATATTAGATTCCTATCAATTTAGTTAAGTGGTATACACTAGGTTTCAGAGGCCCAGGTACAAATACAAAATATGATGCTACAATTGTGGAGAGTCAAAGTTCATGCTTGGGTCTCAGGATAGATATTCAGATATAATATACCCCAATGTTTATCCAACACATTTGCTTATAGTGGCAGGCACTGATCGCAAATTACAATTAAAAAAAAAAAGATTTAACATTCTTGTAAAATTACTTATTGTATGTATTTCTCTTTCAGATGTGTTTTATCAGCACCATATTACACCTGTTTGTCAGGTAACCCAGGAAGCCATCTGTTAATATCTATGGACTTGACTTCCAATGCAGTACAGCTGATAAGCAAACCTCTCTCCCAGTTGATCACTAACGAATACGACAGCAGTTTACGGTCACTCGATGGCAACAGCATAGTACCTGGTTTCATCCTTGGAGATAAGAAGATTAGCATGATAAAGAATAATGAGTTTGACTTTCTGTCTGTAGAATTGATGGATCCGTCAGCTAGTGTGGCCATAGTTGACAGTTCAAATGGTCTAATCATTCTTCAGATTTGGAGTGATGATGAGAAGGTATTGAAAATATATAACACACTCACACATTGACTGCTTTAAAAAAATCAGACATTAGAGTCACACACACATTGTGCATAACATGAGCCATTTTCTTTACATTGTTTATTTGGATGGCTCTATCTAAGGCGTGTCTATAATCTATGGTTGACTTATTTTTTTTTTCTTACTTATTAATCAGTTATATTTGTGCGATTGAATCACACAAGTAGAGCTCTCCTATGGCTCAACAATGGCAAGATTGGCATATTAGACATTAAGTGGGGTCTGAGATGCTGTTTTGAGGTAGTTATATGTACCTGCCTATAGTGAAGCTAGCCCTTACAAATTTATTTATTTATTTATTATCTTAGGGCAGCTAACAGCTTATGAAAATAAAGATAACAGCAAAAAATATTACTAAAAGCTATTGACAAGCTACCACATATAGATACAAATTACAATAGCAATAGGTGTCAGTTCAGGCGTTATTCTCTAAATGTAAAACTTAGCTTAACACCAGTATCTCCTTTTTATTCTGTACAGAGAATGACAAGGATGCACTGTTGTTAAATTTGACAACAGTGTATCCTTGTCTTAGTTTAGTTTCAGAGAATCATGACAGAATCGACATAATGATCTCTTATTTTTAGAAATTATTTTATGTTGAATTTCTGCTATACATTTTTTGATATTCCTACTATAAACAGTAATTAATATTCCTATTTTAATTTATATCTGTAAAGAATAAATCACTGGAAAATGCTTATTATTTTAAGGAATTCTTGTGTTATGCAATGCAAGCCTTGTGGTGAAGTATGGAATAAGTTATTGCTATATTAATATTCATCACCTTTGTATTTGCAATATGATTTGAAATCTATTTAGTTCCAAACTTTTTCCGTCTTATTCCAAAACATGGACTAAAGTTAGTCTTGGTTTAAACCTACTACTATCTCTGTCTTCTTTTAAGCAAATAAAGGAGACAGCATCATTTCTAGACCGGGTTTAAGCCACTGTTTATGTGTCTGCCAAATTTTCATCCAAGTCTGTTTAGCCGTTTAAGTAGTAGAATTTTATTGTATTGTATATTGGTGGTCGGTATATAAATATAGAAAAAAAAAGTGTAAAGAGCGTATTATTCGCCAACAAATTGACTTTTCAGCTCGGAAAATATTAAAGAAAAAAACTAGTCTTACGTTTTGTAATAAGGCAGTTTGAGGCAATTTTTTGTCAAAAAATCCGTGTAAAATCAAAGCATCAAATATAAATAAAAGTTTACTAGATAAAAAACATTGGTTCGGGTCCCGTCTGGTGCCTGGTCTGCGTGGATTTTTTTTCCAGTAAACTTTTCTTTAGATTTAAACATCTAGCAGTTAAATGCTTCAAAAATAAAAACATAAACATCATACATCATTGTCCCACAGGGCTTCTTTATAACGGGTCACAGTTTAGCCACTGGCAAGGAGGTAGCCGAGATCCGTAGGCCGGCATCAGGGCTGTCGATTCCCTCGCCGGAGATATCAGCTGTAACTTGCGGCACATCTCGGGATGTTCAGCCCTGCCGTCTGCTAGTCACCGCGCAGGACGACGCCTCCCATCTACTGCATCAGAATGGTGAGTCTAATGCAGTGTTTCCTAACATTTCCAATACTGCTACCCCTGTAACCTATTAGGAAAACAGATTTTACCCCGACTTTAAAATGTTATCATCAGTCCAAGAAATTCCAATTTGGCCGCTACATCTTCGTCTCTAATAATGTCATCATCAGGAGATAATCTCGCCCCGCTTCCCAACACTCAGCACCCCGCGGGCTCGCTAGCAAGAAGGAGCGCATGCTCTATTTAGTAGTATTATTATATAATACTAGCGGACCCGACAGACGTTGTCCTGTCTAGTATGGTAGCGCCGTCTGTCGGATCCAATGTAAAACATTCCAAAATCAACAACTACTAATAAATTAAAAATTAGTTAAAAAAACATTGTCCAGCGGACAAAATTGTGAATCTAAACCATTCTCAGATCCCCTAGAACACACACAAAAAATTTCATCAAAATCGGTCCAGTCGTTTAAGAGAAGTTCAGTGACATACACACTCACAGAAGAATTATATATATAAAGATTTTCTTATTATTTAGATTTGACCAAATAATTAGGTTTTTTGCTACCCCCGAAGTATGGCTGATTTACCCCGGGAGGGGTAATTACCCCCAGGTTCGGAACACAGGGTCTATTGGTATAGAGGAGCTCGTTGGCTCAAGTGGTTAGCGCGCTCGGCTGCGATCGTTGAAGTTAAGAGCGGACGAGAGCTGAGAGACATTTATGAAATAGATATTTGAAAATACTATTGTAACGAATTGGCAAATACCGTGTGATAGGGATAGGGCTGCCATCTCTAAAATGTGGCAACCAGGATCAGAGGCATGATAACCCCGGATTTCGGAGCCCAGAACCCGGACAGACCAATAAAAAAACAGTTAAAATGTCACAAATCAACTTTTTTTTGTTGATGTAGGGGAAAGAGCTAGCGGTCTACCTCATAATAAGTGGTCACTGCTGCCCATGGACACTTGCAGCACCAAGGAAAGCTGATCTTTGTTGGAAGTCTGCATTTATGGTTACAGTGTTAGAATAGATTTATTCATTTTCAAAGACATTTAAATTGACGGATTAATTGGCAACCCAAAACAGGAAATTTTTAAACCCGGACGACAAATGAATCCCCGCCCGGACGCTCCCCGGACGCCCCGTAAACTAGGACAAATCCGGGGAAACCCGGACGGATGGCAGCCCTAGATAGGGACAACAGCACCCCTAGCACGAACCAATATGGAATTCGTATCGTTTGCGAGTCCGAAATGTCATTGTCAAATGTGTACTGATTTTTAGTTCTCGTTACGCACTTTGTGCCGCTGCTGTTCAAGTTTCCATACAAAATTTTTGCATTGATATTTCGGTTTGCAAACTGTTCGAATTCGATAATGGTTCGCGCTAGGGGTACAGTAGTTAACCCTGAAAATTGCGTATAAAATAGGGTATTTGACAAGTTTTAGAAAACGATCTGACGTTATTAACTAATGTTTATGGAATCCGTAAAAAGTGGATATTCATCATTCTGTTGCGTATTTTAGTAAAAATAACCAAATGAAAAGCTCCATTTCCAAGTTGCCGCGAAAACGTTTCTCTGGACAATATGGCGTCTTACTAGTGTGTGACGTCACACGACTGTTATTAAAACGTCAAACGATACAATGTAATGTCACTTTAACCGGAAGTTTACTTGCGTGTGACGTCATTTTAGGCTCCGCTAATCCCAAGCGTTTTGGGTCACGTGACTATAGATAAAAAAACTAATATCTTTTTCGTTAGAGAAATTGATTGTTTTTTTTTGTAAATGCTTATTAAATCTCCACACGAGACGTCTGTAGTGGTGATAAAATTTTGTTTATCTTGGCCTTTTTGAAGGGCTTCTAGTTTCTTTGAAACACAAAAAAAGGAAAACACAGGAGCATACGATGAGTAAAATTATATTTTATGTATGAAAATCAAGTCTTTAGTGATTAAAATCAACGAGGAATCAGTGGAGAAGCTTTGTATGGAAAAAAAACACTGCGCGCCTTTAGAGAAGAAACTTTAGCAGTGGTCGGTCATTGGATGGGTTATCAAAAATTCACTATCTCCAGCTTCTCCGTGCTTCGGAAGGCGCGTTAAGCCGTTGGCCCTGGCACGTTAAGCATCCGCTGTCATTAGCACCCACCAATTCGTACTGAGCCCGCGAAGTGGGTCACGGCCTAATCTCTCTATGCCATCCATAGGGAAGGCCTGTGCCCTAGCATTGAAGACAATAAAAGGCTGCGGCCGTAACGTTTTTTCATGACAGCAAAATCCTAATACTTACCCCCTCTTCCCAACGTTTGTAAACTTCCTGTCAAAGTCACATGACATTGTATCATTTGACGTTTTAATGACAGTCGTGTGACGTCACACACTAGTGAGATGCCATAATGTCCAGTGAAACGTTTTCGCGCCAACCTAAAAATTTATTTTTTTATTTAGTTTTTTTTACAGAATGACATGTGACATGTTAGGTGATGGCGGCTAGTTTAGGTTATAATACTATATAATATACATAGTTATAATAATATGTACTAGGTTATAATAAATGCAAAGACTTAGATAGGTTGATGTCGATTTCTTGAAGAACTTTTAATGGTACAAAACATCCTTATTTATAATATGGTGCACTACATAATCAACAATTTAGTGTCGTATTAAGTACATATTTATTAAATTATTTTCATACACACAGACACACACACGCAACATAATAATAAATATCAACTTTTATCGAGTCCATAAACATTAGTAAATAACGTGAGATCTTTTTCTAAAACTTGTCTAATACCCTATTTCACTTCAAAAAATAACACTATTATTGTAGTAGCCCAAGATCGATCTCAGTGGCGTGCAATTGGAGAGGCCTATGTCCAGCAGTGGACTAAGATGTTGATGATGATGATGATGATTGTAGGTCGCGTGGTATGGACGCGCGAGGAGGCACTGGCATCTGTAGTGGCGGCCGAGTTCGTCGACCTGCCCGTGTCCGACCTAGATGCCGCCATCGAGTCCGAGTTCGACCAGAAGGAAGGTGAGTTCCCATTTATGCCCCTCACATACGCCTTGGCGCGAGTATGTACAGCACCGCTGCATCCTCATCGTCTTCTGACGAGGAGGACACGTCGGGGAGGGACACGTCGCTGCCGGACAAGGTCATGGGAACTCGTGAGAACACATCCACGACCTCGTCGGCGTCTACTCGCCTATGGCGAGCTCCACTTATATATGTATCCTATCCGTTACCCTAGTATCCCATAACACAAGCCTAAAGTGCTTACTTTGGGGCTAGGCTAATATGGATGATGACTAACTTTTCTTTCTTCGTTTATCAGGTAAATTATCAAAAAGTAGGACACGTATTTTTTCTTTTTTCACATAATATAAACATTGCAGAGATATATTGATTTGAAAAGTCGCATTACGTTACGTTTGAGTACACTTATAAGGGAAAATTCACTCAAAAGTGACGTCACGAGCCCCTACTCCCAAACTTTGACGCGCTATAACTTTGTCATTTTTTGGTTGATTGCCCAAAGAAAAAATACGTGTCCATTATTTTTTAATCATCTAACTGACGGACTAAATAGAATTTCGGACTAAAAAGAATGTACCCCGTCATCACCCCTATTGGTGTGAGTGTTGGAAATATTTATTTATTATTTAAAATGAGCATATCCGGTGATAGCCCCTGTTATCATGCGCAGTTTAGGTCTACTTAGCTGTAAAAGATAGGGTTTCCATGGATAATGATGATTGGTCCGTCGCTTGGTGGAATATGTTGCGTAGTATGTAGTCAGGGAGCCCAAGGGGGGATTTTGGATTTAATCGAGCACAGCGGCACCTTGTCCCTTGTACAGTACCTCCACCATTCCTGAGCCCTCTAGGTACTCAGATAAACTAGGACAGCAAAAAAATATTTTTTAGCAAACTGACACGTCTTTTTTCCGCGTCCATATCATCAATCTTTTGAATAGGAGGTACCGGAGGGTTCTGACAATAATTATATCCGTACCCCTAGCACGAACCAAAATCGAATTCGTATCGTTTGCGAGTCCGAAATGTCATTGTCAAATGTGTACTGATATTTAGTTCCCCTTTACGTCGAAAGTGGCGCTGCTGTTCAAGTTTCCATACAAAATTTGACATTGACATTTCGGTTTGCAAACTATTCGAATTCGATAATGGTTCGTGCTAGAGGTACTGATCTTGAAAAATAAAAAAAAATAAAAAGGTGCTTTTTTTGTTGTTAGTTATTTCGCGACATTTTTTTTTGTTTTCATTATTTTTTTTCTATAAATAATAATTGATTGTCTTTTTTCTAGCTGCCAAGATGTACAGTGAGTAAATTGTAGACTGAATGTGCTAATTTAGTACAGTTGATAATGTGCTAAACTTTCGAGTTTCTAATGTTCAATGTTTTAGTTTAAAGCTGAGTATGAACTAGATCGTCAACTTATGTTAATTATCTTTCGTTAATTTAATATTACGCTCTTCTCTTATAGTAATTATATGGATGTTAATCTGAAATAAAATATTTTTTCTAGTAATATTTTCTTTATACTTAAATTTAGCAGCATTTAAACATTAAAAACTAAAAATTATAACTATAATTGCTATTTCTTCTTTCAAATGTTTAATACTTATAAAAGTATTCATTTGACATTGTGGGTTACCTACAATGCGAAGAGATGGCGCTGCCTTACAGCTTAAGAATGGCTAGAAGAATTTCGACGCGGCCATCAGGGCTGCAGAAGCATAATTAGGCAGTGCATTCGCCCGGATAGCGAAGGGTGCGGGTTCGAGACCCGTCTGCCGCCTGGTCCGCGTGGATTTTTTTCTAGTTATATTTTCTTTAAATTTAAACATCATGCAGGTACATGCTTGTATAATAAAAATTATTATTATTATAGAAGAAAAGGGTGTGCGTCTCGGGACGCACGACAAAAGTGATAACTTAATCTTATCTAAGCGGCGTTGTGAGTTAGAGTGAGAGAGGAGGAGCCTGCCTACCGCAGCCGTATGCGTGAGAGGAAGGGAAGCCAGACAGACTGGCGCCGTAACGCGTTACGTAACGAAACGATTTACCCTCCCATAAGAAGTTATCATTTCAAAAACTTTTTTCATATTAACCAGAAATTTACATGTAAATTACTCTCTTTATGTTAATAAGAACAAGTTAATGTTGTTTTATTATTGAATGCTAGATTTTATTTTAAGAAATTTAATATGAAAATGCTTAGGAACATTTAGTTCATACTCATTCCAAAGCTTATGTCTAAATCTTTAGAAAATGATAACTTGTTACAAACTCTGTAGAAAGATTTGTTTTGACCTAACTTTAAAAATGTTTTGTCAATATTTATTTCTGATATTTTCACACGCACCGATTATTTCGTAAAGAAAATAGCTGCACCAATTGCTTTTTCTCTTTTTGCAGTGGCTGTATATAATGAAAGTGTTTATGAAAATGTATGTCACCAGGTGGCGACTCTGTGACGGGGGACCTTTGGTATGAAGTTTTTGGTGCGATTTAATCGATCGAGCATTTAAATTAATCCATAGACTTTGACAATATATAGGGTGTTACAGAATTCCGAAATAAAATTTGTAGGTATGTATTCCGAAATAAAAATTTGTAGGTATCTGAACGGGGCGCAGGGGCGCCTGGGGGAGAGAGGGGGTCTTTTAGTAATCGTACGCATTTATAGGGTTGTCATAAGCAGGTGTAAAACGATATTTTTATTAATTTAATTAGCAAATAAAAGTGGTCTGAAAGGCGTCAAACTTCGTAGGTAATTCTATACAAGGAACACAACCAAACCCTTAAGTTTTATTTCGGACTTTTGTCACATCCTGTATATGCGGTTTGACGGATAACTAGACCTTTCGTCTCAGTGCTGCCACCTGGTGCCCGTCAATACAAAAAACACCCATTAGTTTTAACTGTCAGTTTAATAAACTGAACATTCTAAACTGAAGTTGAAAACTGGTCGTGTGTATGATAAAATCTGATAGCTTTTAGTGCAAATTGTTTTGTTTAAAAACTTCAGTTTATGTTTTTCTGAAGTTCGGACAACGTCCAGTTTCAATCTGTTTAATAGGGTATTAGACAGTATTAAAAATAAATGATTAGCCAATTGTTAGCATTTGTATTTAAAATGAATATTGGCATGGCTTTTACTATTTTTACAAAATAAAAACTTAATTTTACTAAAAATCCACGAAAAAGATAATAGTTTTCTTATCTATTGTCACGTGACCAAAAACGCTTGGGATTGACGGAGCCTAAAATGACGTCACACGCAAGGAAACTTTCGGTTAAAGTGACATTACATTGTATCGGTTGACGTTTTAATAACAGTCGTGTGACGTCACACAATAGTAAGACGCCATATTGTCCAGAGAAACGTTTTCGCGGCAACTTGAAAATGGAGTTTTTGATTTGGTTACTTTTACTGAAATACACAACAGAATGATGAATATCCATTATCTTTTTACGGACTCCATAAACATTAGTCAATAACGTGAGATCTATTTCTAAAACTTGTCAAATACCCTATTTAATTCCGGTAAGAGATAAGCCTAAAAAATTCATTGCCCATTTTTTTTAGATTATAATGACTGTTTTTAAAGGACGGTCGCCGGGCAGAAATAATTATGTACAACTAGCAAACCAGGCGAACTCCGTTTCGCCATCAGATGGCTTCGTTTTATGTAACATTTCGTTTGGTGATTAAAAGAAGAATTTTTTTTTGAAATTTTTCCTGAATTTTCTTTGCTATAAACCGCACGGAGCCCGAGATCTTTCCAACGAATGCAAAACCGTGGAAATCGGTTCGTGCGTTCTGGAGTTATAGCGTCAGGAAGGAAAACCCGACTTATTTTAATATAGTAGATGACCCCACGCTACCCACCCTTCTCGCTCGCGCGCAATCATGTTGTTGTCACGCTTGCACACAGTACTACACACGGTACGTGTGCGAGCGAGATAGCAACATAAGTGCGAGCGATAAGGATGGGTAGCGTGGGGTCATTGTACGAAATTATTTCTGCCCGGCGACTGTTCTTTAAAAACGGAACCAGATGATACATCCGTTATAGGTCACGGTAAACTTTTTGAGCAAAACCACAGACAAATAAACTTCGCAGTAGTCGTTTTTCTTTGTGAAATAGCTACTGCGCAGGCTTCTTTGTCATCGAAAAAATGGCTTCCTTGTCTATGGTCGTCGCTCAAGTAGTTTCCCGGGGTGTATATCTCTGTGTCTTTTGGAGGTTGGCTATTGAAACTGGCCGTCATTGAGTTCACAACTGAGTTTGCTTTAAACACTAGATTAGCTAACAGAATCTTTAGGATTGAAAATTGCACAACTATGCTGGCTAGACGGCATTATTTGTACCTTAGCTCAGTTTTGCACAATAAAATTAATTATAAATTACATATTTACAGTTTCCCACATTGTGAATGTAAAAGTTCATATTTTCGATAGAAGATGTCGAATCTCTTATACAATTAAATAATACATAAGATATGATTTAAACCTACAAAATACACAGAGAGATACATACACACGCACACATACACGCACATACAACGACGTTTTTATTGATGTAAATGTTAGTATTTTTAGTGTTTATTGTTACTAGTTATCATGTTCGAGGTGGGGCGCTAATAACTGCGACACAGTCTGACTAATGTAGTTATTAACGTTTTACATTGTTCTGTACAAACTGTTTAAATGCAAATGAAGATTTTTATTATATTTGTTTCTTAGGTTTCCACGCACATCACTCATAAAATAAAACTAGTTTTAACGGCTTAATGCACGAACTTTATTTAATTATTGACGTATTGCAGCCTTTTCGGGTCTGCATCGTCAGAATAATGATTTTTTATTTACTTTGTCGAGTTACCTTCCAAAGACTTTTATTGAGCGTTCGGATATTTCATTGGAAGATTTTTAAAACTCTATGGTCTATGTATGAATTTATTAGTTAATTAAGTTTTTATTTATTTATCTTTAACAAAGTTTCTACAGCGGTCTTTTGTGAAATTTAATACAATACAATATAGATACAATCTTAAGGCTAATTACAGAAACTCATTATTATACGTCAGTAATTATTACATTTAATTTCATTTCATTTTAGTTAATAAAGTACTTTATTTAAAAGTCTTTTTATGTAATTTTGAGTTTATTATTTGACCCTAACTACCGTAAACTACCACCGGTTCCAAAATTAGGAGCCCTTTCTGAGAAGAACCGGCGAAACAAACTCAGAAAGGCTTTCTCCTCTATCTATCCGAACGCTCAATAAAAGTCTTTCGAAGGTAGCTCGACAAAACAAATAAAAAATCATTATTCTGACGATGCAGACCTGAAAGGCTGCGAAACGTCAATAAATAAATAAAGTTCGTGCATTAAGCCGTTAAAATTAGTTTTATTTAAGATTTTGATTATTATTATTATTATTACGTCAGGTTCTGTATGGGCCGCGTTCTCCCGCCGGCTGCAGCAGCAGTGGCAGCAGCTGCGCACGTTCCTGGCGTCGCTGCAGGCCGGCGAGCAGCGGGACCACTCGCAGCCCCTCGTCAGGGACTACTTCAACCTGCACAAGATGATAGTCATACTCACCGACGTCGGCAAGGTACTGCCGAGTTCTAGCCTGAGTGGATAGAACCTGGGGACGTAGCGACTAATTAAAAGAAACTTGATTTTATATTGATTTTATTAGATTTCAGGCGAATACAAGTTTTTTTATCTAACTACGAAAGGTTTGGTGCCTGAAGTTCATCTGCTGTATGTAACCTTCTATCAAAAGACAGACGATTCCTTATAGTGCAGTCATTGAAGCATTATTGGTCCGAATTTTTTTTACTGTGAACCGAATTGCATACAATTTTGGAATTAGGTTCATCTTACCCTTAACTTCAAAAGTGAAAATGATTTGAACTCCGCAACCACCCTGGGGGTGGTTGCCACCCCTTCTCGGTGGTGAATTTTTTTTTTTTCAAAATAACCTCGGATATCGATAGAAAGCCTAATTTTAAGCAAAAAATCATCTATAGATGAAACTTTATAAAGTTTTTCCAAAACTTCAATACTTTTCAAGATATTGGCAATTGAATATTCGAAAGTTTTTCCCGTTTTTCATCGGCTTTTTGCAAATATCTCCAAAAATTTAAGTTTTATCGAAAATTTTATAAAGAACAAAATTGTAGCAGGTAAAACAATGAACAATTTGGTTTTTTATAAAGTTTTCTAAGTACAATATTAAGCTAGATATTAAAGATCAAAGCCGTTTTTTATTTTGTCTGAAATTTAATCGATGTGGTCAATGCCATCTAGCGGCGAGCAGATGCATTTTATGCATTCTAATACAAAAGGGTTTTGTAGTGCTTGAAATAAGCTTTAAAATAAGCATTATTAAAAGTCTTTTGCACGTAAAATAAATGAGCTGTATTGCAAATAAGGGGAGCATCTAATGTTTTTTCTTTTAAATCAATGGGTTTCATAAGTGCCATTTAAACCAAAATTAAAATTAATCGTATTCCGCCTAGAATTAACTTTATTATAAAGAGTTTGATAGATAGTATCAGTTTGGCTGCTTCAGGACCTATATTTTTCAAAAAAGTCACGATTAAAAGAAAAACCAAAACTTAATTTTTTTTAAAAACCCCCTTTTTTTTCATAATATCTCAAAAATGACGACAGATAGGTATAAAAGTGTACGATTTAAAAATTTAGGTATTTTTCTGACAAACAAATTGGTTTTTTTGTTTTTTCTGTCAAAATAAAATTGACGGAGATATGATTGTTTAAAGAGCCCGTGGCAGCGCAATCACAGCCTCTCTTAAGCCCTTTAACCCTTCACCGTTTTAGAAAAAGGTTTTTTAATATATATTGCAATGAAGGATGTTGTAGCTCTCTTAATTACCTTTACAATGGTTTTACATAAATTGTGATAGCATGAAAATTGAAGGAGTTATGGTCCAAAAACTTATCATATTTTTTTCTACTTAGTAACTGAAAATTTCGGAGTGTGAATATTTGGAGCAATGTGAAAGTACGCAGTATAATAGAGACCCACAACTATTGTAATGTGTATATATATACATAATATGGCTCATATATTTTGAAACGTAGGCAGGAATACATACCAACGTTCTTATATGTATATATAACACATTTCATCATTTCATCATCATCATCATCATCATTCATCCATCGGATTGGGGGTGGGTCATGAATGACAGTTTATTAAATCCACTTAAGTCTGTAGATCCACCCGCACCACAAGAACTGCAACTGCAAAAAAGGATGTGGAGCGTCTTGCGGATGCAGAAAAGTTGGTCTGTTTTGTAATAGTAACTGTGGAACGTGCAGTGGAGATAACTGCCAAAATAGACGTCAGAAGATGTCGAATGTGACAGCGACTCCGACATTGAGTCATGAATAATAATATTATATTTTAATAATAATAGTACAATGTTATATAATTAGTAAATATTTTATTCAATAAATAGCAATTTTTTACTCTAAATTAAATTATTTTTAAATATGTAATATATATATATATATATGGGTTGAAAATGATTTTAATATGAGGTAATTATGTTAGAAAATACTTTACAATTTCATCACTTACTATTAGACATGTTTTCTAGCGATAAAATGGCTCAATGTCAATTTTTCCATTAAGGGGTTGTTTAAAGTTAAGGGTAAGATGAGCCTAATTCCAAAATTTCATGCAAATCGGTTCACAGTAAAAAAATTCGGAGGTAAGGCCGTATTTTTCGCTTCAATGACTGCACTATTATTTCAAATATGAAAATCATGGCATTAACTTTTGAATATAACTGCCAGCTGTAGGCATTGCATGAACAAAGAGTTTACCTAAACAAGGAGACTGTAACGTAACGGACGTTACAGTACCAAATACATCATCGTCATCAGCCCATTAATTCATCATCAGCCTATTGGTCATCACTGCTGGGGCATAGGCTTTCCCTATGCATAGCATAAGGGGTGCGGTCCATGACCCACTACGCGTGCCCAGGGCGGGTTGGTGGTTGCTAACGACTGCAGATGCAGCCGGGACCAACGTCTTAACGTGCTTTCTGAAGCACGGAGGAACTCGAGATAGTAAATTTTCGCTCACCCATCCAATAACCGACCACTGCGAAAGTTGCTTAAATTCAACGATCGCAGCGGAACGCGCTAACCACTTGCGCCATCGAGCTCCTCTTAATTTATTTATATTATTAGGACCATAAGAGAGAGTTACATTAAACCTTATTTTTAAACATTATAGTAGTGATACATACAAAATGTAAAATTCTATTGAAGGTAGCCCCATCATGCTTAAGAGACAGTATGAGCGGACAGGATTTTAATCTAAAAACAAACAGAAAGACAAACTGAAACAAGATATGAGTAATGAAATTTATGAATTATTAGTGGCGCCTTTGAAACTATACATAATAGAAAAATTACTTAAAACTTATTCACATTAACGTTTAAAATTTGGCTCGTATATTGAAACTTGCGAGTTGAAGTCTCAAAATCGAACTTGGTACCGATTTAGGTCTCACTTATTTCATTGACGAATTAAACATCCGAGGCACGTATCATAATATTAAATTCGGCAGTTTAAAATCGTGTTCTAAAATTAATGTTTTGTCGGCAGATATTCGGGATTGACAACCTAACGGGAGAGATTGTATGGCGGCGATACGAGCGGGGAGTCGACGCGTCGCGTGCTGTCTTCTACACGCGGCGACATGCTTCGCTGCTCACCGTCGTGGCGGCGCACGAGGTATATATATGTACTAGCTAACCCAGCGAACTTCGTACCGCCATAAAAAAAAAAATTAAAAAAACATTGTCCAGCGGACAAAATTGTGAATCTAAACCATTCTCAGATCCCCTTGAACACACACAAAAAATTTCATCAAAATCGGTCCAGTCGTTTAAGAGAAGTTCAGTGACATACACACTCACAGAAGAATTATATATATAAAGATATATATACTAGCTGACCCAGCGAACTTCGTAGCGCCATAAAAAATAGGGGTTGGTGGTAGAAGGGCGAAAATTTTGGGTTATATTTATTTTTGTAAGATGTATCATAAAAAAATATATCTAAAATTGAAAAAAAAAATTTAGGGGTGGATTACCCTTAACATTTAGGGGGATGAAAAATAGATGTTGTCCGATTCTCAGACCTACCCAATATGCACACAAAATTTCATGAGAATCGGGAAAGCCGTTTCGGAGGAGTTTAACCACAAACACCGCGACACGAGAATTTTATATATTAGATATATATTACACACACCCTTTTTTTTCATTTTCTGCGACCGAAATTCTGCGACTCACCACTCACAAAATTACGCTCGTTTGGCCTCACCCTTAATCCAACGAAGAAAGCATAGATTCTGGATACGAAAGCTCGAGCTGCGCATCTTCCTTCATCATCATCATCATCAGCCTATTAATGTCCCCACCGCTGGGGCACAGGCTTCCCTATGGATGGAATAGGGAGATTGGGCCATGACCTACCACGCGGGCCCAGTGCGGGTTGGTGGGTGCTAACGACTGCAGATGCAGCCGGGACCAACGGCTTAACGTGCCTTCCGAAGCACGGAGGAGCTCGAGATAGCAAATTTTCGGTCACCCATCCAATGACCGACCACTGCGAAAGTTGCTTAAATTCAACGATCGCTGCGGAACGCGCTAACCACTTGCGCCATCGAGCTCCTCAATCTTCCGCATCTTCGTTGCGCAGTTACTTTGCGGCGGGGCATCTTCATAGCACATCTTACTCGCCCCGCTACATAGCTTAGCATCAGTGGAAACGGTCACGTGTAGCTTAGCTGACACATCCTCCGCAGCATAGCTGCACTTTACCCTAACTTACTAAAAACCTAACGATGCCCCTCACCTCACTCGGTCCACGGTCCCGACCAGCGTGGTTGAGACAACGGGACTATAGTCTATTTACTTTTGCGTGAGACATAATGTAAACAAATAATCTGAGCTTCTGAAACTTTTATAATGTCAGAAAGTACAACTTATACCTACTAGTCAATGATTAGGTCCAGATTCACCATTCATGACTATAGACTCAAAAACGTTAATTCAACAAGAAAACAATCACAATCAACTTTTAACTTAGGGGCCGTTCATAAAATACGTCACGCTAAAATCATTTTCCGACCCCCTCCCCCCCCCCCCTATTGTCTCGCTGTGTCACACTTTCTGTGACCCCTCTTGAAATATTCCGTAACAAAAACGGAGACCCTCCCCCCCCTCCCCAAGTATGATTAATTTCAATTGATAGTATACAAATTTTAAGAATTCAAATATTTATTTAGTTTTTATAATAAAATTTAAATATATAAATATGCGGTAATGTCGAAAAATAAACATGAGTAAATATATCAAGTTATAATTTATTGTATAATAAAACTATATACGTTTGAATGTCTATATGTTTACTTAATACGAAATAAATGATTTTCTATTATGATGAAAATTGAGAAAGAAAAATAGTTGAAAGAAATACTAATTTAATTTTTTTTAATGAACGACGAACGTCACGTTGCCGTAGACCCACCGTCCCCCCTTGTCACATCTTGCCACACTTAGCAAGGCAATTTTTTTCCATGTCGACTTAAGTTGTTAAAATACTTTTATCAGCAAAATAAAAATTAACGAATTTATTATAACATGTATATGTACGTTAAACATATGTAAAATATTTTATTTTCTAACTCGTATGTATGTAGCAGCTTTTAAAATAATTAATTTAATCATTCGCTGCATTTCCTATGTAAATTAAAAGTATTAAAACCTTTACTTTGTCAAATATGACCTTAAAAAGTATCTTTTTTATAGTTTGTTTACATTTTGTCTCACGCCAATGTGAATAGACTATAGATGAGGGCCACGGGAACCCTTCCGGAGTCTTCCGCGACCTCACCAGTGAGCGTCCGAGTCGAACGGACACACCCGCCCCCCCCCCCCCCCCCGGAAGAGGGGAGTGTTGGGAATACCCCGGAGCATCATGGGTATCTCCGGGGAGTGTTGAGAATACCCCGGAGCATCATGGGTATCTCCGGGGAGTGTTGAGAATACCCCGGAGCATCATGGGTATCTCCGGGGAGTGTTGAGAACACCCCGGAGCATCATGGGTATCTCCGGGGAGTGTTGAGAATACCCCGGAGCATCATGGGTATCTCCAAGAATGTTGAGAATACCCCGGAGCATCATGGGTATCTCCGGGGAGTGTTGAGAATACCCCGAAGCATCATGGGTATCTCCGGGGAGTATTGAGAATACCCCGGAGCATCATGGGTATCCCCGGGGAGTGTTGAGAATACCCCGGAGCATCATGGGTATCTCCGGGGAGTGTTGAGAATACCCCGGAGCATCTGGGTATCCCCGGGGAGTGTTGGGAATAACCCGGAGCATCATGGGCATCCCCAGCTATCAGCAAAAACCCGTGCATGGCAGGATTTGAACCTCCGCAGTCCAAACCCCGCAGGCCTCTGATATATATACACCATGACTGGCGAGTGTGGAGGGAATACGAGCGCGGAGTAGACGCCAAGCGCTAAACTAGGTTTTACTAACATAGGTATTAAGTTTATTGCTAACATTATAATTCTACGCGGCAGTTAATGACCTCAGTTAGTCGACAACCAAAACCAATTTGAGCTTGATCTCAGTCATTCATTGAGCATACTGACCTTGACCTTAGTCAATCGATGACCAAATTAACCTTGACCTCATTCAGTCGATGGTCGAATTGTCTGTTAGCTCTGTCATTCGACGGCCACATTATGAATCATTATGTTATGTTTTTTAAATATTTTACTGCTAGATGTTTAAATCTAAAGAAAAGTTTACTAGAGAAATAAATCCACGCGGATCAGGTAGCAGACGGGTCTCGAACCCGCAGCCTTCGCTATCCGGGTGAATGCACCGACCATTATGCTACCGCCGCCCTGACGGCCGTAATATTAATCATTATTGACATTCGATTACTACCTTGACCTCAGTCATTTGACGACCAAGTTGACCTTAACCTCAGTTGACAACCAAAGGTTGAGCCACGGTAATAATATCATACAGTATTCTATCTTCATACAAACGGTCGGAAAGCGAGTCATACCTACGCCACTCGAGTTCGAGGCAGTCTCGGTGGGCACCCAGTCGCGAATGCGCCGCCGCGCCGCGATGACGACCGAACGGTGTGAATTGTTTTTTATGCAGTTAGCCGTGCTTAAGCGTGCGTTTTGTATTGTAAATATTTGATTGAATTAAGTAGATACCTACATAATTTAGTATGGAAAAGAACAGAACAGAACAAAGAACAAACGACGATCAATATCGTACAACAGCACAATTGCTGTTTTTGGTTGCTTAAACTATTCAATAACACACCCAGAGATATCATTTTTTAAATTACCTGAAATATTGGAAAGGTGTCTTACCTTTATAGAATATTTTTTATATACCTATCTACTAGTACGTAATTTGTTTCTAATATTTAGGTATTTCGATTTTTCCATCGGGCAAAATATCTGGAATATATATAAATAAGTGGTTAGGTTGAAAAAAGAGAAACGAATAATCTACCTACACTCGCGTTAAAAACAAAACTAGATAAAATACTGTAGGCGGGCGGCCCTACCGCGTGCTAACGCAGCGCTCGGCCGTAGGCATTTATTTCAAGGACAGGGCGGAGTCTCAATACTGTATAGATAATATTACCGTGGTTGAGCTTATCGATGATTGGCATGTCAAATAAATATGTTTCTAACAGTGTTTATTTCCACTTTCGTACAGGAGACTGGCAACGGGCTGATAATCAGCTTTAACCCGATCGACGGGTCGTTAGCGGGCGAGCGCCGAATGCAACTTGATACGCGGCTACTGCAGTGCACGCTGTTAAATAAACCGGACCAGGAGAAACTACATGCGTTGGTGCTGTTGGATAGCGAAGAAAACGTGCAGGTTGGATGACACTTGTAACCCCTCGTTTACACCAAGAAACAAATCGTATACTAGTTTTATTTTAAAACTTTTATCGAAAACTGTTATCTTTACAAGTATAAATCAAATAAAACAAGTTTTGACAGACGGGGGGGGGGGGGGGGGGGGGGGGCATTCGCTTAACGGAAAAGCTTTGGAACACCCTAACGCTTTCGATTTTATTACCTCACGCTCATTTTTTTTAATATTGTTATTACCAATGCAAAAGAAAAAAAAAACGCGAGGCATTTGAGGCAAAACCTCAGGTGGCTAAAAAACAAAATGAAATCGTAAGCGTTAGCGTTTTCCAAAGCATTTCGTTTTCGTTAGGCGAATGGCCCCCTGAAAGGATGCGAAATGTCAATAAATAAATGAATCAGTGATCAGACTGGAACACAAATGCCTTAAAGTACAAATTCATAATACAAACATCCTCCCCCACCGGGATTTGAACCCGGGACCTCTCGCGTCGGCCACACCATGAAACGTACGCCGGGCGTACAAACCACTCGGCCACGGAGGTCGTCAAAAATATGTCATTTAGATAGATAGATATACTCTTTTTTACTCACACATACACAATTAAAGGGTTTACAAAACAGATAGTAAACTATGGTGGGTAAAGGCGGTCTTATCGCTCAAAACGATCTCTTCCAGACAACCTTTAAGTCAAAGGATAGTTTAACAGAGATAGAGGAGTAATGTGCCAGCAAAATATAAAACAAATACATACAAATAGTACATTACTGTAGGGTGCTAAACGCCGTGCAGTAATAGACAACTTAGGCCACAAGTATCGTATACTATTTTATAGCAAGTGTGACATAAACCCGCCCCGGACGCGGGCAAGAGGGGGGGTTTATAGGGGAATTCGATTTATTCTCTCGTCGCCATTTTTTAAATGCATTATACGCTGCTGTATACAGCCGTTTCGATTTTTGGGGCAACAAATTCAATGTCACCCACTTCGCCACTTCTTTAATTGCGTCCGGAACAATTTCACCGTTCTCGTATTCGCTTAGGTCACTATCTGAACTGGCCATTTTCGACCAAAATATACAATTCTCGCGGAATGAATTATACTAACCGTTTCTCCTTGTTTTGGCTGTCACTGAAAATTCCTAATCTATCGCTAATTTGTCATTTGTTTGCTGTCAGTTTTTAAGCTCCAAATGACATTAAATGTGTTTCCTTTTATTTTTTCTACACGAGTGAAGTTGGTCAATTCATTTACACACCGTGCAGAAATAGGCAACTTAGGTCACGGAAAAGCGTGCGTAAAGTGCGGGTTTAGGTCACACTGTGCTATAAACAATTATACCTACGTATACATATATTTTTCATTTGTAATTTAATATTGCAACTTCATTGTTCTATTGACAGGTGTTGCCTCGGTCGGCGGCTGTCCACGTGGACAATACATTCATGTACGTCGCGGACAAGAGCACCGCTAAAATACAAGGATACGCGCTCAGATACGACGGAAAGGTAACTGTTATATACATTTGTACTCTTTAGGGGGCGTCCATAAATTACATGAGGTGTTTTTTTGAATTTTCTGTCCTTCCCTCCCCCCCTGGTGAGATGTCGTGAGATTTTATTCAACCCCCTCCCCCATCCACCTATCTCACGTGAGATTTTTCAAAATGTGGGTTTCTTACGTAAACGCGTTGAATTGTTATTGTAAAAAGAAAAAAAAATGCTTCGTGCTTTATTCACGACTAGTTAAGGCTAGTAATCAATATTGCTGAGAGTTAACGATTACGCTTAAGATTAAATCATAAGCATGTACAATCTGGATTAAATGGACCAAAATAGTATATTTCTTTTTTGTTTCAATCAAAAAAAATTGCGTGATATTTGCCGAGACCCCCTCTCTCTCTAACGTAAGATTAGATGAGATTTGACTCGACTCTTAGTTAAAGAGCGGAATTTACGAATATTTTCTATTATATCATGTTTTAGTTCATCATCATCAGCCTATTAATGTCCCCACTGCTGGGGCACAGGCCTTCTCTTTGGATTAGGGTTACCATGTAGGAATTTCAAAAGTCTGTCAACTGACATTTCGGAACAAGTCCGGACTTTTTAGTCACAAAATGGTACCATTACTCACTTAGTTACAATGGTGTGGTTTAAATCAATATGTACTTTTAATATCACATTCAATGTAATTCACAGTCCCGACTAAAGTATTAAAGTCCGGATATGCCCGGACTTATCCGGGCGGATGGTAACCCTACTTTGGATAGGATAGGGAGGTTGGGCCATGACCCACCATGCGGGCCCAGTGCGGCTTAGTGGGTGCTAACAACTGCAGATGAATAACGACGAGATAGTAAATTTTTGGTCACCCATCCAAAGACCGACCACTGCGGAAGTTGCTTAACTTCAACGATCGCAGCCGAACGCACTAACCACCTGTGCCATCGAGCTACACTTTTACGCTTTGAGTACAACTTTTCACTCTGATGTTTCAGTTTTGACATAAAATTTACGAGACTGTCAAATTTGACATTTGTAGCATCTGGATCGTCGTAGGTTTGGAACATAGCCCTCTGTATTTGTGTATGACAGCCGCGTGCCCAGTAGACGGCGTGTGTAGAGAAATATGTTTCAGAAATAATGTTTGGTGTATATGTTTATGTTGAATGTTTTCAAAAAAAAAATACTGGAGCCGGCTTTTCATCAACATCATTATTGACACAAATATCAAAGTGAATGATTTCTTAAAATTCCGTTATTATCTAAAGAAAATATATCTAGAAAAAATTCCACGCGGACCAGGCAGCAGACGGGAGTCGAACCCGCACCCTTCGCAATCCGTATTCATTTGACATTGTGGGTTACCTATAATGCGAAGAGATGGCGCTGCCTTGCAGTTTAAGAATGGCTAGAAGAATTTCGATGCGGTCCGTGAGGGCCGCGGTAGCATAATTGGTCAGTGCATTCGCCCGGATTGCGAAGGGTGCTGGTTCGAGTCCCGTCTGCGGCCTGGTCCGCGTGGAATTTTTTCTAGTTATATTTTCTTTAGATATAAACATCAAGCAGTTACATGCTTTAAAAAAGTAAAAATTATTCCGTTATTATTTAATTTAATAGATTTATGTGACTCAGGCGCACTTGCAGCCAATTTGCTATATCTGGATTTTACTAGAACTGGATTTAGCTCGAACGAAAGTGTCAAACATTAGTATCATTCTGACATTCTTGTATGACCTATATTTGGTTTGAGTGAAATCGAGATTTAGCAAAATTGCTGCACGCGGGCCTCAACATGACATTCACGCGATTTCAGTCCCCTTATTTATTAATTTATTTATCTTTAACAAATTTCTACAGCGGTTTTTGTGAAATTTAATACAATAAAATATAATCTTAAGGCCAATTACAGAAACTCATTACGTACACATTAGATATTAACGGCGTTATTATATGTCAGTAATTATCTCTTATCTATTAGACAAGTCCGTCCGTCCGTCTGTCTGTGGTGCTGTTTCAGCGGCCAAACCGTAAGAGATAGATAAAGAGAATATTTAAGTTATAAGTTAAGAATAGTCTGATAATACTACAAACCGGATTTGAGTAACGTAGCACTTCCGGTTTTCGAGAAATCACGTGATTTCTGTTTTGTAATTATCACAATTTTAATTAACTATTTAAAGGTTATTTTTTTTAACTAAATAATTTCAAACGAAACCACACAAAATCTCCGAAGTTCTCAATTAATTAAATACATTTTTTAAATAAGGTTTTGGTGAACATTTGGTTCACCGGTTTGCTAGTTACATTTAATTTAATTTTATCTTCTAACTTTTACCATTGTAATATCATGTTTAGGAGGTGGTAGCCCAAAAGACATGGTCTTTGAACTTGGCCGGGGGAGGGGCCGGGTTTGGGCCAGACGGGGATAGCGGGGCCCACCGCATCGTGGGAGTGTGGCCCAAACCGTCCGCCGAGCGGGCCCACTCCCCGGGGAGAGTGTTGGGCGACCGCAGCGTCTTATACAAGCATAATAATCCTAACCTGGTGCTGGTGCTTACCGAGGCCCGGGACCTACATCATAAAGGTAACAATAGGAGTAATGACGGGGTACAGTAAACGAAATTCTATTTAGTTTCGTCAGTTAGATGATCAAAAAATAATGGACACGTATTTTTGTTTGGGCAATCAACCAAAAAATAAAAAAGTTATGGCGCGTCAATGTTTGGGAGTAGGGGCTCGTGACGTCACTTTTGAGTGAATTTTCACTTGTAAGTGTACTCAAACGTGACGTCATGCGAATTTTCGAATCAACATATCTCTGCAATGTTTATGTTATATGAAAAAAGAAAAAATACGTGTCCAATACTTTTCGATAATCTACCTGATAAACGAAGAAAAGAAAAATAGTCATCATCCCTATTCAGCTTCGCGTCACAATCTTAGCTTTCACAGGTCAAGCGGAATGACGGCGATGCGTTAATACGATATTAATATATAAAGTAATTATTAGTCTGATGATTTATTTACTAAAGGTCTGCCAACATTTTTATACCTTAACTTACATAATCACACTAATATGTAACAATTTTCAGCATAGTTCAAAAACAAAGCAAACTCAACATGAACAAAAACACGGAAATACATATATATATATATATATATATATATATATATATATATAAAGTATTACACTGGCAATGCAGGTATAAGAAGAATCATAGATGAATGTCATTGTGTATAATACAAGCCTCAGAATAAAAACTGTAGTCTACACTTCAGCTCCACACCGAAGCGAAGCGAGGACGGGCCACTAGTATATATATATAAAGTATTACACTGGCACTAAAGAATATTTAATATAATTCTTACATTCGTCTATTCGCCTGCAACAACCAACTTACCACACCAATATCATAAATAACCATTGCATATTCAAGAACTATACTGAAAACTAAAACAAAAATGCATTAAAACACTAGGTTAAATGGAATTTATATGATACTAGCTGTCCCAGCGAACTTCGTACCGTCATAAAAAAATAGGGGTTGGTGGTAAAAGGGTGACAATTTAGGGTTGTATGTATTTGTGTATGATGTATCATAAAAAATTAAAAAAATATCTAAAATTGAAAAAATAAAAATTTAGGGGTGGATTACCCTTAACATTTAGGGGGATGAAAAATAGATGTTGTCCGATTCTCAGACCTACCCAATATGCACACAAAATTTCATGAGAATCGGGAAAGCCGTTTCGGAGGAGTTTAACCACAAACACCGCGACACGAGAATTTTATATATAAGATGATATGATAAATTACAACACTGCAGAGGTTCAGTATTTTATTGAATCACCAACTTGGACGACGATCGCAGCTAAAGTTAACCGAACCAAGGTGGAGCTCTCTTTTATAACCCTCCATCTCCACACGTTTGTCACTTTTCATAGATTATCGTCTTTATGCAACTTGTCTATGAACGATATCAAAGCTAATAAATACTTCATAAAGACGTGCACACACAATCCCATAACATTCGCAAAGTCAATGTCACCATACAGCCAACACGCCATACAGCCTACGTTTATGCAACCACCTTAAATACGAATGATCAATAGGGTATTTACCAAATTTTTGAAAACTGCTTATATTTAAAGATTGGGGCAAACAGTTTAACAGAAAAATAAAAATAAATTAATTAATGTGTTCTTTCTTGTAAATTCAAAACTATTAAAAATAAATTCAACTTCAATTGGTTTCATGGAGAAAAAAAGACATTAATTAATTTATTTATATATTTTTGTTAAACTGTTTGTCCCAATCTTTATTTATAAGCAGTTTTTTAAAAATTTGGAAAATACCCTATTGACGTTACACCGATTAATCATTCATTTATCAAACTCCGTTACACCGGAAGTGTTTCCGAGTATGGCAAGTCATATTGAAATTAAAGAAAATGGCAACATTGGCATAACGTCACCTACGGAATGTCCTGCCATCAAAAACATACTAGCGTTAGAAAAGTAACATGTTTTGCTTAAGTAAAGTTGAGTTTAATAATTAGTACTTACTATATATAAAGAGAAAATGGGGGATTTATTGTGATTTTTTTTATGCAAAATAGGCAATGCGTTTGACCTCAATCTCACTTGATGGAAAGCGATGATGAGGCCTAGGATGGTACACGCCTGCCTAGAAGATGCTTGTTCACTCTGATTGGATCAATGTAGTCTTGAAATCTGAGTGGGATAGTTAATACAAACCAAAGGTGTTTAGGACAATGCGATGGAACTGTTGACATTCGCAGCGTGTGGAAAAAGCATAATAATCCTAATCTAATGCTCGTTCTTACTGAGGCCCGGAACCAACACCAATATAAGGCAAGAATTCAGCTTCACGTCACAATTGTAGTCATACTTCGTATATAACATTTACACTATAATATATATATATATTTACTTACAACCTTTACCTTTAAAATGCTGCTGTGTCTATTGTTATTAAAATTGTTAATTTATCACTTAAGCATAAATATAAAATAACGTTTGACCTCGAAAAGCCTGAAATACACGTACAATTATAATGAAACCTAGTTCAGGCAAACTTGATAATTGCATATAAATGTATTAGTATAGATTTATTTTATTTTATTTGAATATAATGTGATCTATTTTTCTTAAATAAAAAAAAATATGAATTATTAGAATCGTGGGTGGTGGCAATGTGCGTGGACGCCGTATCGGGGGCCGTGGTGACGTCACAGGTGCAGCGCCGCGCGCGGGCGCTCCCTCTAGCGGTGCATTCCGACAACTTCCTCGCCTACGTGTACTACAGCGAGAAGCATCGCCGCCCGGAGATCGGTAACTATACCAACGCAGATATATTGAATGTGCGCGGACGCCGTATCGGGGGCCGTGGTGACGTCACAGGTGCAGCGCCGCGCGCGGGCGCTCCCTCTAGCGGTGCATTCCGACAACTTCCTCGCCTACGTGTACTACAGCGAGAAGCATCGCCGCCCGGAGATCGGTAACTATACCAACGCAGATATATTGAATGTGCGCGGACGCCGTATCGGGGGCCGTGGTGACGTCACAGGTGCAGCGCCGCGCGCGGGCGCTCCCTCTAGCGGTGCATTCCGACAACTTCCTCGCCTACGTGTACTACAGCGAGAAGCATCGCCGCCCGGAGATCGGTAACTATACCAACGCAGATATATTGAATGTGCGCGGACGCCGTATCGGGGGCCGTGGTGACGTCACAGGTGCAGCGCCGCGCGCGGGCGCTCCCTCTAGCGGTGCATTCCGACAACTTCCTCGCCTACGTGTACTACAGCGAGAAGCATCGCCGCCCGGAGATCGGTAACTATACCAACGCAGATATATTGAATGTGCGCGGACGCCGTATAGTCAAACCTTTGGAAACCACTTGTGAACGTAATAATCGATTGAAATGATGATGTAAGGACACTTCCTGTCTTTGAAAGCAAGAAACCTCGTAAAATTACGTTGAATTCGCTCGATTCTATCAATGTGGACACGATATTGCGTATTCCAGACTTGGGAATGGTATTCTAGTATACTTTGCACCAAACTCTTATACAAGCATAAAATTGTTGCGATGTTATGGGAATTCTTACACAGGCGTTTCAAGAAACCCATCATTTTTAATGCCTTTGCAATAATAACGTTAATATGTTCAATGAATCCGAGCTTTTTGTCAATTACAATGCCCAGAATACGAGTCGAACCCACTTCGGGAGTGCAGAATTAATGGTATAGACAGAAGCGTTAATGTTTTTTGTCTTTTAAGAGTCATACCGTTGTCTACGCACCATTCCGATACCGAGTCTAGATCTTTCTGAAGAAAAAGTATATCTTCCTCGTTTTTGATCGGTCGATACAACTTTAAATCGTCGGCAAAAAGAGAGCAGCTGATATAACGGATTTTATCAGGGATATCGTTAATGAATACGAGAAACAGAATTGGTCCTAAGATCGAACCCTGGGGGACTCCCGACGAGGTGAGGAATGGTTTCGATCTGTAGCCGTTCACAACTACCCTTAACAATCGATGCTCTAAGTAAGAACGGAGCCATGAACTCCGTAACGCTTCAGTTTCAGAAACATTATGTTGTGGTCAACCTTGTCAAACGCACTGCTAAAATCTGTATAAATAGAATCTAGTATAATAATAAATCTGTATAAATTAAGTTGAAAATCCATTATAAATATTTTAAATGCTTGTTTAAAGAAGAACAAAATATTTTTAAAGGAAAATTTTTGTTTTATATCACAATTATAATAAATAAAACTCTAAATAGTATGCTCAAAAGTCACGACGTTGAAAGCCACAGTAAGATGTATGTGATTACTTAATAATATGTTAATTGTGTTTCCTTAAATTTAAATATTGAATTCCAGACTATGAAAATCTACCTCAATTATTTATTTGATAAATCATAATTATTTTATTTCTATTTCCGTTAGTGCAAAATATAGACGTTATAGTCTTATTTCAACCTTCTCTGTTCCTCGTCTGCGCAGGCTATAAAACTAACTTTAAGATGTTCATTATTTTCTTTCTATGAATGTGCCATGATTTTGATACCATTACCAATGTACAATAAACTTTGTTCATCCTTCTTTATCTGTTAATGTTGGGGGACGTTAAATTAATTATTGCTTCATTAGGCTACGACCTACGAGTTCTATCATCTTTTTATTGTGATGGAGAAAGTAACAGCACAGCAGACTCTTATAGAAATCAAAAGTTATTAAAATCTCCGACTGCGGTTGGAATTGTATCATAATATGTTTTTTTCTCGCGCAGCCACCTTGGAGTTGTACGAAGGCCAGGAGCGTTGGTTAGAAGCGGGCGCCGCGTTCAGTTCGTTCGCCAGCAACAACAAGATGGCGCTAGTGTCGCGCGCCGCCTACGTGCTGCCCGCGCTGCCCGCTGCCGCCGCCCTCACCAGGACGGAGCGAGCCCTCGCTGCGCGCCACGTGCTGCGTGAGTATATATATATATATATATAGTGCCGCGTGAGTATATATATATAGTGTCGCGCGCCGCCTACGTGCTGCCCGCGCTGCCCGCTGCCGCCGCCCTCACCAGGACGGAGCGAGCCCTCGCTGCGCGCCACGTGCTGCGTGAGTATATATATATATATATATATATAGTGCCGCGTGAGTATATATATATAGTGTCGCGCGCCGCCTACGTGCTGCCCGCGCTGCCCGCTGCCGCCGCCCTCACCAGGACGGAGCGAGCCCTCGCTGCGCGCCACGTGCTGCGTGAGTATATATATATATATATATAGTGCCGCGTGAGTATATATATATAGTGTCGCGCGCCGCCTACGTGCTGCCCGCGCTGCCCGCTGCCGCCGCCCTCACCAGGACGGAGCGAGCCCTCGCTGCGCGCCACGTGCTGCGTGAGTATATATATATATATATATATATATATATATATACTCACACAGCCCGCGGCACTACACAGTCAGGTCATAAGTATTGTCACACAGTAAAAAACTTTTCTTTTAGAATGCTGGCCACAAAAAAGTTTATTGAATTCGAATTTCGAATTGTTCATGAAAATAAAAATGTATACTTTTAAGAATTTTACTCATTTTTAAATATGGAGTGGACGCTTAAAGAAGACCGTGTTGCAGTTATTGCGTTGCATCGTTGCAGTTACGCGTCAATTCAAATTTTTGATATACTGAAAATTTTGAATATAACGTAAGACCAAAAGATTCGTTTATCGTACCATCAAACGATACAATCAAGACTCTAGTGTAGATGACAGGCCAATAAGTCGTCGCCCTCGGTCTGTTAGGACTCTAGCAGTGATAAAAGCTGTGAAGGCGCGAATTCAAAGAAATCCGAAACGTAAGCAGAAACTGTTGGCCCTTCATATGGGGTTAAGCAGAACCACGGTGAAAAGGGTGTTAAATGAAGACTTAGGGCTTCGGGCATATCGAAGAAAAACAGAACATCTTTGAATACTCGTCTAATGGACCTGAGACTGAAGAGATGCCGCGCTTTGTTGAAGCGGTACGCGGGAAAAAAATATCGGGAAATTCTTTTTTCGGATGAAAAAATTTTTACCGTAGAAGAGCGCTTCAACAAACAAAATGATAAGGTGTACGCACACAGTAGTAAAGAAGCGAGCAACCGTATTCCGCGTGTCCAACGAGGTCATTTTCCATCCTCGCTCATTTTATGGTTGGCAGTTTCTTATTGGGGCTTAACAGAGGTACATTTTTGTGAGAAAGGTGTAAAAACGAATGCAGTTGTGTATTAAAATACAGTCCTGACGAACCTTGTGGAACCTGTTTCTCATACCATGTTTAATAACAAACACTGGGTATTCCAACAAGATTCGGCGCCAGCGCATAGAGCGAAGAGCACACAAGACTGGGTGGCCGCGCGTGAAATCGACTTCATCCGGCACGAAGACTGGCCCTCCTCCAGTCCAGATTTGAGTCCGTTATAAATATATATATATATATATTGTATGTGCGTTTATAAAACCATCTTTATTTTATTTTTCTTTTTATTTATTAATTTACAGTCAGGCAACGTAGGCAACTTTAATTTCGTCATTTGAGTATTTCGCCATGGGTGTAGATAAATGCTATTACGACAGTGATAAATTGATTCAATACCAGCATCGCTTTCCCCAGTGGCGCTGACCACGGGAGCCATAGTGGAAGTGCCTTGGGCGTACTTGGAACCTCGGAGGCCGGTGACCCCGACTCCTGAACAACGAGAAGAAGGCCTGATCCCGTATGCCCCCGAGTTGCCTCTACCCGCTGAGGCCGTCATCAACTACAACCAGACATTACACCGGATCACGAATATATACACCGCGCCTTCGGGCCTGGAGTCCACTAGCTTGGTGCTGGCCGCGGGATTAGGTGAGTGATTGTGATAAATCAGAAATCAATATACAGTGTAAACTCTTTATAACGAAACTCAAGGGACTGAGCATTTTTTGTCGTTATAGAGAGTTATCGTTATATGGAGTGAACAAAAAAAAAACAAATTAACAAGAATTTTTAGGATTTAGATAATACGATAGATACCCAGTATGCTTGGTCGAAGACCATCACTTCCGAGAAAACAATGCGTCATACTGCACGTGTACAAGGCGATTAAGGATAACAGAAGCTAGACCGACCTCGGATGTTTCGGAGCTTCAAAGTCTTTTGTTACCTGATAACATAACATAAACAATAATACCGATAATAAATATTTACTGTCTAAAAATATGAACACATTTCTTCGTAATAGAGAATGGCGTATCGCTATAAAGAGTGTTTCAATATGTGAGTTTTACGCAAACCAACCAACTTGGACTCACTCCAACGTTATAGGGAGTTTATCGTAATAAAGGATAACGTTATAAAGAGTTTACACTGTATCTTTATTCAAATTGGATGTTAAGTACAAATCTTTTGAATCGTCCATTTTTTTTTTCTCTACCACTCGTTATTGGACAAATTTTTTAGCTGCGGTGAAAAATGATCCACAACATTAAAAGTATAATGTTACAACATTTACAAAAAAATATGTTGTTACAACTTCAATACAACCATGATTTATTTAATATAAAATACCTGTTGAAATAATTGGAACAGTTGAAACCCAAGTAATATAATCAGATACTTTGTAAGAAGCTTTTAAATTCGAAAAAAAAAACGAGTTAGACCCAAAGTTATTCCAACAAATAACACAGGCCCCAGCGTTGGTCCCTGTGGAAAACCTGAAATTAATTAGTTGCTAATACTCTTATCGGGGCCTTGAAGCTTTGCTTAAAATATATAGTAATAGTGATTTAAGTTGCTGCTCTTCTATAAAATTTTTTAGTATATCTTCTATGATATCGCCCTAATATTCTTGTGATTTAACGATCTTTATTCAACGATATTAAATACCCTATATACACCAACACGAAAAAAACGTGCCCGAAACCTGTCCAAAAGGTACATTGGACGATCCACAGCCCTCCGTAAGATGATCGGTTAGTCAAAAACAATAAAAGGCATTATTTAAACATTAAAAGTCACCTTTAATGCATACTGTATAAGGTCTTAATTAAAACGAATGCGTCAAAGAGTTATGACAGTTCGAAATGCAAGCTTGCAAAATTTTACGACTTATTGCTATATGCGGAAGAATATAGACCTTATTTTTTAACTCGACGCGCAATTCTGAATGCGCTGTTAGCAATATAGCAGGTACAGACCGCGAGGAAAAGAGACGGCTATATTACCGACCATGCATTTGAATATCACAAATATTTTCTATAAAATCAATTTATAGTAAGTTTTACAATAAAAGAAGAAAATTTGCTTCGAATGTGTTAAAGTAACAAACATTGATTAGATACCTGTCGAAAAAACGATACTTTACATTGTATAAGTATGTTTTTCGCATTTTCTCACGGATCTTTGCGGCAACTTGACTTTTCAGCGGTCCGAGCGTGACTGTGAACCAAGAAGTGCTTGAGTGGTGTTCAAGCACTTCTTGATTGGGACACATTTTGAGCGCACGTGGTGTATCCAAGGTATTTAATCTCGTTGTCTTTATTAAATTGACAGTGTTTTACCAAATCCATTGTTTTCCTTCTACCCAGACTTATTCTACACACGAGTGGCGCCATCGAAAACGTTCGATCTCCTGAAAGACGACTTTGATTACTACCTAATCGCTATAGTTTTATCCGCTCTCATCGTGGCGACATACAGCACCAAATACTTCGCCTCAAGGAAGTTGCTCAAGATGGCGTGGAAGTGATGAGGCATAGTGGGGGAACTTGGACTGTGTTGCAAGGGGCAAAAGGTCGAATATGGCTTACAGTCTGCTCTGCATAGGCAAGATTTGGCCCTAAAAGGTTTTTAAAAGAAAGACTACTGTATCATTAGTTATCTAATAAAGTTTCAAGCATATTTGTATAATGCGATTCAACTAAGAATAGGACCGACTAGGCGCCATATTTTGACGTCATAACTGTCAATTCAAACCAAATAGGTAGAGTGAGCAAAAAAATTTTGCTTTTTAAGAAAACTTATTCACTAAGATTAAGTGAGATAAAACATCAGATTTTATAATAAAATTAATTTACTAAGGTTGAGAAAGAACACAACCGATTTTTAATAGTATTTTTTTATTAAGACTGTGTGAAAAAAAACATTATTAGAATCTAGGCTCTTCAATTTCGCTCATCTCTGCATTACCGCCGGAGAAGTTATGAATAATCATACATCCTATATGTAAACGAAAGTTCTAAATCGAGTTTTTGAACGCAACATAATGTGACATTTGGTTGACGATTTAGATTATCAACCATTCATAGCCAGAGCTCAATAAATGAAAAAACAGAACAACTAATATTAATTATCAACATTTGTTATTGTTTGTTTAAAAATGTTTGGTTTTTATTCTAGAATCAGCTGAGTGCTAAAAAAGTGTTCCGAGATTTTTTTGCAAACCGTACTTTTGAGGCGACATTTGACAGATGGAGGTCATTGACTTTCCTATTCTTATTTGAATCGCATTATAGAGCTGCAATTTCCAAATAATTCAAGATATACAGTTACATTTTTGTGACTTAATAAATGTGCTCATTTTTGTTTAAAACTAGCTGCGTCCCGCGGTGTTACCCGCGGTTTATTAGGGATATTTTTCCGCAGTAAAACGTAACCTATGAGTTAATCCAGTGTGTCGGCTAACTCCATACCAAATCTCACAAATTTTCGCATTTATAATATTAGTGCGATGAGTATCCATCCATCAAGGGCGGATCCAGGGGGGGGGGGTCATGGGGGTCATGACCCCCCCCCCTGGGGCCAAAGCTGGCTATATGACCCCCCCCTGGCGCCAAAGCTGGCTATATGACCTCCCCCCCTGGCGCCAAAGCTGGCTATATGACTCCCCCCTGGCGCCAAAGCTGGCTATATGACTCCCCCCTGGCGCCAAAGCTGGCTATATGACTCCCCCCTGGCGCCAAAGCTGGCTATATGACCCCCTCCTGGCGCCAAAGCTAGATCCGCCCTTGGTATCCATTGTTTTAGCTTTCACTATCGCATAATTAATAATATTTGTATATAATTGGCTGTACATAGCAAAACAATAATGTAATTATGTAGACAGCTTTTTATTTTTTCGCCTTGTTTGTTATTAAAGAAACTAAATTTAATATTAAGTTATTAAAGATAAATATCTTTAGTTTGTTATTGAAAATATTATATCTTTAATATTATCTTCGATAACAAACTAAAATTAAAGATATTATGTTTAATAACCAACAAGGCGAAAAATATATTATAAATATTAAATTATTATTTAATATTATTATATAATATATATTAATATTATATTATTCGAATTATATACTCCACCCACTACTAACATATTTTACAGACGTTAATGCCTAAAATGCACCTTTTGATTATGTGCTTTAGGTAGCCACCTTACGCGAAAGAACTTAATACAGAATGGAATTGAAATACCCTTGCCATCTTACAACACAGTCCAATTATCTGTTAAATTAAGATTTATATAAATAAATTGATAATATATAAATATAGATTCGTGATTTGTGCATAGTGAATTTTTATCTAAATTAAAACGGATCGCGTCAAACTTCTAGTCCGCTCTGAAGTTCGCATTTCTGAAGATTCTCGTCGCATTGTGCACAGTGTTCGTACTACTATAAACCTGCCTCTTGCATTGTTCAGACCGGACTGGAAGATTGGCGCAATCTGTATACGACTGTGAACCTATGCGTAGAAACTTCAGAGCGGACTCGAAGTTTGGCGCGATCTGTACTCCTCAGCACGAACCGATATCGAATTCGTATCGTTTGCGAGTCCGAAATGTCATTGTCAAATGTGTACTGATTTTTAGTTCTCGTTACGTACTTTGTGCCGCTGCTGTTCAAGTTTCAATACAAAATTTGACATTGACATCTCGGTTTGCAAACCATTCGAATTCGATAATGGTTCGTGCTAGGAGTACTGTACCCTCAGCACGAACCAATATCGAATTCGTTACGTTTGCAAGTGCGAAATGTCAATCTAAAAGTTTGTACGTAAACTTGAACAGCAGCGCCACAACGGACTTAACGAGAACTAGAAATCAGTACACATTTGATGTATATCTAAATCGAATTCGATAATGGTTCGTGCAAACACACTTTGTTCGAGTTTGATGCAGCTCGTTCTTAACTTAACTTAATCATGTAAATGACCCGGCTGACGAGAAGATTTGGGTTAAAAAGTTATAGCCAAATCAACTAAGCCATTACAACATGCAAGCATACAAGGAAAAGAAAATTTAAATTCAAGTACAAATTCGAGAATGAATTCTATGTATTTGCGGATGGGACGAAATAAATATTAGATCATTTGTAGTGTTAACAATATTATGAGCGATCTGCGTCAAACAACTTTGTAACGGGTGCTGTGAAATTCACAGCAATCTTGTAGGTATACTTGAAAATTTATTATTGAGAAATAATTTATAATGTCAGCGTCCACGCATCGGCCGGTATTTTGTATTACTCATAAGGCGCGAGATAGATAGAAAACATGTAGGACGCAGACGGGGCGCGGGCATGTCTCTTCTGCGTCCTTTTCATACAAAACGAATCGTCGCGTATTAAAACGTAGAGAAAAGCCAGCCCAGCTATACGACTCTGGAACGCACTGCCTTCTCATATTCAAGATGCTCCGAACAAACTAGCTTTTATCAGCATCATTTATTAGATTCCTCCTCTGCATCCTCCAGTTATGATATAGATTTGTATGTATATATCTATATATGTCAGTATTTATTATTGTCTATGTATTTATATTAGAGATGGGCCGTCTAGCCGCCGACTAGTCGGGAAAGACGACTATTCGGCATCGTTTATAATCGGCGACTATTCGGCAAAACATGCCGATTATATTCGGCACATAACAATGAATTAAAACTCAACACTTATGCTTGTTTTGAATATTTAAACATTACCTAGAGTATGTATTTAAAGTTACCTACAATCATAAAATATTAAAAAAGGCAACATAATAAGAATTAGGAACTTAAGAATCTGTCATTAATTCAGATAACTTTACACAATGAATATCGCACATAATAAAATAGCAATGGGAAGTACGTACGTATTAATTGAGTAAAATCTTAAGTGCTAGCGAGTCTAAAAGAAGTCCATAGGTATGTTTTTCCTTAGAGGCAAATTGTGATGTTGGAACATGAATATTTCAGCTCGATTTTGGGAGACTCGTGTCGTGCGTGAGCAAGCCGAGTAGTGACGAAATATTTCGATCACCTTCCTAAGAAAGGTATTAGAATGATCAGCATTGCAGAATAGTAAAATTCGAAACCCGATTAGTCGGCAAATACTATAGTCGGCCCATCTCTAATTTATATTGATATGTATTTAATGAGATAATATATATTATCTTGTTTCTATAGATATATTTCAATTATAATAAATAATTTGATGAATTCTTTAAGATTTTCGTTTATTATTTTGATTATTTGTTGATTAAGAGCTTTGCTATAATTATCCGGTTGACTGGTAGAGAATGCCTAATGGCATTAAATCCACCACTTGTACACTCATTTGTGCAATAAAGTATAAATAAATAAATAAAAATAGAAGCCAGGGCGCGGACACGACGCTTCTGCGTTTTGTGTGAAACTGACAATGTCCGCGCCCCGTCTGTCTTACGACTTTTCTGTCTGTGCCGCGCCTAAGACGTAGCCATGGATATAGTTCAACGAAATCTGATCAAAATTATTGTGTTTAACATCGATTGTTGTCATATTATTATGATTTTCAAACTTTAGTTACCGTACAAAATATAGTGTTTTGAATGAAAAGCTCGGTTGGAACAAAGGTTGAAGCGGGATGGTGGTGTGCTCTTCATACTAATAGTGGTGTCTCGCTCGCACTGCATCGTAGTTCAAAATGACGTTTACGTGTACTATTCAGATTCCATATAATTATCTTATTACGGTTTCTACGTTATAAACTGTTTAGTTTTTTTTGGTAATGTATAAAAGTGGAAATTAGTATTATTAATTTATTAATACAAGAAATCGTCATACGATGACTGCTGTATGTATGAGAAGAGGCATGTCTCAGTAAAAAGTACTTTTGAGTGCAAATATTCAAATGTGGATTTGATGATTTGTATCTGTTACGAGGTATGGCGTAATAAGTAATGAAGATTAGCAGAATTTCGAGGGGTAACGGGGTTTATTGTTATGGTTTTCTAAATAAATTGTAGTATAAAAAATTTACTATGACTTTAGGTATATTCAAAAAAGAGTTACTCCGGGAAAAGTATCGGTTTTTTGAAAGGAAACCTTTTTTTTTTTACCTCAATTAGGTTTTATTTCGTGTAAATAAAAACACGAGACATATTTCTATACATTTTCAGTATCGTTTTTAATGAAATAGTCTTTATTTATTATCGTAAATCCTCTACAAAAAAGGTGTTATATTTCCGGCAGTATTCCTGGGAACAATTTCGGAGGCATCAATATCTTTGTTATCTTGTAATATTATACTGGCTGGCTATAATTGTCTTTTGTATAATCGTTATGTGTGATCAAATTATTACACAAAGAGCTAATTAGTTAATGTGAAAAATTAGCTAGTGCAATGTAGAATTACCTTTATTTGTTTAAGAGGTGACGTGTATCTGTAATAATAAATATTTGTATAGCCATTCCAGGATAAATTAATTAGTTACAATTATTATGAATTCATTTATTTAAAAAGCAATTAAAATTTTATTTTATCCTTTTTTTTCGCATGGTTTGTTAACCAAGCTATCATGTTTACACAAACATGATCTTCTTTGTTATCTTGTAATATCATACTGGCTGGCTGTAAGCGTCTGGTCGAGTTTAGTTAAGTAAGTACATCTTATAACTCGTATCATTGAAGAAAGGAAACGAAAATGCCGAAGCAATACATCCTGTCTCGCTCGCACGTTATTGAAGATAGCATGTGGGAGAGGGACAGAATGTCTTACGTCATTATTTACCATTCCTTTCTTTAATAGCACGAGTTATACCTGTTACATAACTCTAAAAAAATAATGTGCATATCTTGTGAAGATAAAGTCTTCAAAGATTGTGCAACAGATTTGTGTCGCAACGTCTTAGCGTGTGTGCAACAATTACTGTTTATTGTTAAGATATAATTAAGATTATTTTACTCAATATCAATAAAATAATGTTAATAGTGCTACTGCCAAACATTACGTGTATAATGAAACACCAAAACGATTTGCACCCACTAAAATATCGAGCCCTTACCGCCAAATTATCGTAAGCGACACTCGCCAAATTATCGTAAGCGACACTTTTGTCGAAATGCGTTTTTTGTGGAAACTAATATTTTAAATCGTAACGGACCCATCTCTGTTGATATTTCCCTCTATTATTAACGGTGTTCTTTTGGAGGGAAATATCAACAGAGATGGGTCCGTTACGGTTTAAAATATTAGTTTCCACAAAAAACGCATTTCGACAAAAGTGTCGCTTACGATAATTTGGCGTTAAGGGCTCGAATCTACCCAGCACATCTTTAAGTTTAGTAAATGTACATATACTCGTATGTATTAACATGTAAGCCATCTATAGTCACACGACATTACTAAATGGATTTTTGTTCTTATAATTATTATTCTGTACTTTTCATCACCTTTGTTGTTTAGCGGTTAAGGTTAAGTATTGCGTACTTTTTTGTTTAAACTGTTATTTTATTTGTCACTAGTTTTTTTGGGTTTTCTGAGATGAAATGCTACT